ATACCAAACAGATCATGAATTTTAGCCATTTCTCATTTCGCTCAATTTAACACTGCCTTTGCATGGGCTGATTCTGTGAGAACAGCACCATCTACAGGCCTGGCATATTTACTACAGCGTCTCCAGCGCTTTCCAACGGCAATGTCCGTGGCTGTCTCCTCCTGATTGGTGGAGTTGGCCCAATAGCCGTAGCGCCACTTCTGTGACGTCATAGAAGTGTTCAAATCTGGATCAGTCTGTATCAGATCCGTTGCAGCCCCTTTTTAAGAGATTTGGGTATGGAGGAAAATAGAGAGGGTTGTGTTTTCTGACACTTGGTGAGTTCCCTGGAACACCGGGGACACATATTCATGTAGAAAAGACGTACAAAAGTGCATTTTGCATGATAGGTCACCTTTAATGAAACTGTGGTATAATTTATATTGCTTGATCTAAAATGTGCACTTACATTTTGTCTTCACTTGGAAGACAAAGTCCCGTGATTTCTACTTGGAAAATGATTTTTCATGTATCCAAATGTGGGTGGGCATTGTTATGCCTTTAAACCTTTTGCAGCAAAGCTTCCCAGGGCATAGCTCTGAGGGATGATTACTAACATTGCAGGCGTAAAACCCACTTAAAAACAGGACAGTTGGAGAAAGATGGCAAAGTAAAAGTGAATAAAGTAACACTGGATAAGTAATGAGGAATGTTTCACCATATGCATTAGTAAGCACACACCTGGCTGAAGTTAAAGGGTATGTTTACAGTTTTGTAATGTTCCCATCTGTCAAGAAAATTATGCATTGTTCTGTCTAGATCCATTAAAAGAGATGCTGAGGTGTACCTTTTCTCTATCTTTTCTAGTGGAGTTTGTGGCAGAAAAGTGTTTAAGGAGGAGTAGAGTGTGTGTAATTGTGTCTGACTCATTCAGCCCTTGAAATGCTAAGTACACTCCAGTATGTGCTGAACTGTAGACCCAGACAAGAGGAGAAATATGCTCATATTCACTCTGACTCAGCAGGAGCTTCAGCTTGCACCCACAAGGAGTTTCTAAAGCAGACGTTAAGTAACTCTTGGAGAGGAGCTCTTTCCAAGAAAGTGGCATCATTAGCATCATTGTTGCTTTGCATTGTGGCTTGAGAATACCTTCTAGGAAAGATGAGAGCATCGGTCATTTCAGCAAATGACCAAACGGCATTTGTGTACATTAAAGATACATAAGCTTGCTGGGAAATTATCTTATGAGAATCAAAGTTTACACACGAAAGAGGTCAAGACTTTAAAGGTCACCTATTATGCAAAATCAACTTTTCCATGTCTTTTATACATAAACATGTGTCCCCTCTGTGTAAAGAGATTCTGAAAGTTTCAGGAACAAAGACCCCCTCTCTTTTTGTCCTGATCCATTTATATAAAAACCTGTCTGAAAATGAGCAGATCAGATTTTGGCCACTTTATGATGTCATAACGTTTTTTTGGCTTGTGTAACCATTAGGTCTAAGTCATTTCAGAGGGCAATAACACACACAAGGTATTTTGTCATTTCATTTGGGGACTTGAGAGTGGGCGAGTGGTTTCCAAGAACTCTGTTGTGATGGTCGCTGTGACAGCCGAGTTGGCAGTTTAAAAGCATTGCAGAAAGCTTTCAGAATATCTAACTTTCATTCATGTGAGAAAAACAACAAATACTACAAAACAAGTTTTGACATAGGGATTGTGTTTTCAAACAACTAAATGAAACAGAGTAAATGTCTGATGGCCGACGGACTCATAAAAAAAAACACAAAACACTGTTGGTTGCCAATTCCCATTTTCCAATAAGCTCATGAACATACCACCATGGAACGGTTTTGAAAACATTACAGCTATACGATTTAGAAATCTCTGCAAGATAATGTTCATCATGTACTAAAATACATGGAGACGTGAAGATATGCATGGTTGGGCGACATTCTGGGCAAACATCTATTTTACCTTTAAGGTTAACTGTCATACAACCAGTCTCCTCCATCACTGTCAGAATATCTAAACAGATATCCATTCAGCCTCACTCACTCCCATTTGACACATGTATCAAATCAAATGACCGAAGATGTACCAAACAGGCCCGTAGAGACCCCTTAGGAGGACAAATGACAAAGGATTTTAGGGTTGAGTTGATTTTCACATCTGTCCTGAGGAGCTTTGTCTTGCTTCTCGCTTGTCCTGACTGTTCTCTCTGTCTGCCTCTGTTTTCTCTAGTTTACTCCCCCTTTCATTTTTAATATGCCCCCATTTTTCACCACACACGCTTCTTCCTCTCTGCTGTAATCCCGTCTCTCCTCAGAAACTCCCCTCCCTAACTCGTGTCTCTCCACAAACCCCTGTCACATGTCTGAGAGCATGCGGGACGAATTCCATATCTGCCTGCCAGGCTTTCTTCCTCTTGTCCTCCTTCATTTTTCACATGTGCACAAGGTATCCGTCCCCTGCCGCCTACTGCACCTGTGTCCCTGATGTGATCGCATGTCATTTTTGGAGTGGGTGCGAACAGTGATATAAGACAGCAGGGAGAGAGGGTTTATTTAATGGATTGATCGAGAGTGATTTTTCTATATCCCTTTCTGACTCAGTTTCCTCTCATGTATAATGGATGATGTGAGTCTCTCGCACCATTGTTTTCGGATTCTAATCAGAGTGCCCAGCCTGTTGAATAATGAAACAGGAGGGCAAAATAAGAATGTCTCAGAGCTTCAGGGGAATACCTGCTGATTAGAACGTAGAAAACATGTTTCACGACGGCCCTTAACGGGACTGGTTGCTTGTCAGATCACAAGACACAAATATTTTGTCTTTTTCATTTTTTCTGTTCTTTCTTCTTTTTTGCCTTTGAATACTGAGACTGACTCACACACACAGTAACTTTAAGATGACATCTTAGACTGCGATCTGAGGTCGTCACGGCGACATCACACATTGGTTTTCGAGACTATGGATTTTAAGCCTCGACTTTGGTTTTTGGCCTTCGTGATCTAGTCTTTTTGGAGCCAGAAGTGGCCATGTTTGGACGAGAGGGTGAAGCAGGAAACAAGCAAGTGAGTCACGTATTATAAGCAGCTAATGCTAGCACTAGTTGGCCAGCTTGGTTAGCAAGGTGCAGGCGTAAATCACTTTAACTGTAATGCTAATTATGCCTAGCAAAAACATGCTTATTTGTAATATACTCATAAAGTTGGAATAATTTTGTTTTCAGACACATTCCACTTTTTACTCCTATTTAATGTTCACTGTTATGTGTTTGGAAGAGATTGATCAATAAAGTTTTGAGAAGATATACATTTTATCTATCAAGAACAAATCACATTGTCACAATCATTTAATGAGAAGATGTACAAATATTGTATTCCAACTTTATAGGCAACAGTGTATAACTAATGCATTCCCTGCTTTAATGTGCATTTTACAATAATTATAGGATTATAATTTACTAAATGAACATAGTGATGTATTAAAGAACACTTGAAATGAGCACTCAGACCACAAACTACTTAAACTATTACTACTACAGCGAAAAAAGTGATAAGTAAGGTCCTTTTCTTATAGACTTCTATAAAATCTGTTATCCTTTTGGAACCAGGTTGCCATAAATCAAGGAACTTAGTGTATGAGAGAAGGAAAGATGTTGCCTCATAGCAATGTTTTCCTTGCCCCTGCTCTTACTGTGTGTGTGCCTGCTGTGTTGGACAGGCTTGAATAATTGACAGAGCTGCCAGGAGGGAGGCATTCACCCAGTGTTTGCCCTTCACTCAGGAGCCTCTCCTGCACAGTCACTTCCAACACTAGCTGAATAAGAAAACAGGTTACTCTCCTGCAAGTGCTGGAGGACATCAAAAGTTCCCCTTTGATAATTGGACTGTATCTGTGGACACATCAGCTTATTTTTCAGGATCACATCGATATAAACTTAATAAAGGCTGCATTATAACCAAGTTTGCTAAAAGGAAAAGCATATGCTGACTCACAACTGATCAGTCTTCCTGAAGTTATAGATTATTAGTGACCTGTTCAAAGTCAGTTTGCATACAAGGGGAGTAATAATAATTACTAGTAATAATAGTAATAGGAGTTACCTGATATTTATATCATACACTATTAGAGGTTCTCACATTTTCTCATTTCCTTTCATCCCTCCAATCCTTCCTAATAATAGTCATGACTCGTTATTCCTAATAGTTATTGCTGCGGTTCATATCCTCTCAGTTCCAGATTGACATTGAAAGCACATGTTGGGAGTAATTCGTCTCTCTTTTGCCCCGTCTCCTTTGGCTCATTTTCCTCTCCTGTCACACAGAGGAACATTAGGAGGTCAGTGTCATTCAATTGCAAGTCCCAGGGCTATTTCATTAAAAGCTGAAGCCCTCTATGATATTGGATTTTTGCTCAGTGTGGCTGAATGGACGTCTGTAGCGTATTATTGTCTGTCTATTTCTGTGTGCGAGTAAAAGAGACACTAAGAGAAGAAAAGGAGCAAATTATGAGATTCAGTACTTGGTCAATGAGCTCACAGCTTCTATTTTCAGCACGTATACAGCAATCTTCTTCAATTGTTGTCAAGGTTAAGCGTTTAAGTTGACATGAAAATACAGTATTTGCGGTACAAACACACATACCATTTATGAACCAAGAAAAAACCAAAACACCTATGGTCTGCCTGCTGTGATTACATCCACTGACGCAAACTGAGGTCATACTGAGAAATGAAGTTGAACAATTCTTCACTTGATCTCATCCGGCTGTCTCATTCACGTTCTCTCTTTCAGTCTGTGGCTGCCTGAAGTATGGAGATAAAACTGCACAACAGCTGCATCTCTAATCTGTGGGTGGCAAAAGCCTACAAAGAAAGCAATTAGGTCTATAGTTTACAATTCCCTTGCCCTTTTCTCCTCTCTACCCTCCCATTTCCTCTTCTTTCAACTCACCCCTCCTTTCCAACCATGAATTAATGTCTTTATGTGTGTCATGTGTGTGTGTCCCCACAGAGCAGCCCGAGCATTTGGAGAGTACCTGTCCCACACAAACCCTGAAAACCGAAACGGATCAGGTCAGCGTTTCAGCCATCCTGCCATTTGTCCATCCCTCTATGCTGCTCTGCCTATTCCTTTGTGCTCTCCAACCCCCCCCCCTCTGCTGAAATGCCAAGCTGCAATCATCACTGCAAAAGCTGATAACCGAAGAAAGATGATATTTAGAGTAATTATTCTTCTCTAACACTCATGTTTGTCTTTTTTCATCGCCATTCTAGCTCATCTACTGTGTGAAACCTTGGTGGGTCCCGACCCGGAGTCGCCGAGTGACAAGATTGGCCCGAACAACAACAATCATCTCCATCCCTGCTCCAACACCACCAAGGGCTGTGAGGAAAACCGGGATCCCGGCCAGGTGAAACCCACGCTGGGCTTACACCAGCCACCTCCACCATCCATCACCATCTCTACCAAAGCATCAAAGCTCTCCCTTGAGCGCAGCTTCTCAGCGGAGGAGGACCAACAGAAGAGTGTTGAGTGCACCCTGCAGCCTGCTCGCGTCTACACCATCACCACTCAGCGCGGTATGCTGATGAGCAGCGGCCGGGGCAGCAAGGAGAGCCTAGAACTGGACGTCCTGAAGGAGAAATCGGGGAGTGGCGGGGTGGCCTCCAGAAGTGGCCTGATCCAGGGCTCCCCTTCCTCCGCCACATCGTCTCCAACCCAGCACCACCATGCCAGCAGCAGCCGTGGCAACAACCACCATCACAGAAACCATCATGACCCTCACCACGGAAACCACCACGACCCTCACCACGGAAACCACCACCACCACGGCCTCTCCGGCACCACCTCCAGCAGTGGGGGGGCGAGTGGAAGCAGCAGTAGCAACCAGCAGCAGCAGTCTTCTGCGGTCACTGGATCCCACTCCCATCATGGATCGCACCACCACGGCCACCACCATCACCTGTCTCAACCCCCGCTGCAGACCTCTGTCAGCGCCCACAACATCCGCGGCTGGGGGGAGGGGGGAAAGGGGGAGGCAGAGTGCAGCGGGCTGGCATGTGAGTCTTGCAGCGGGGCCCCCTCGCGGAGCCAGGGGTCTCTGGACCTGGAGAGCGCGTCCCGAGAGGCAGGCAAGCAGCATCGACGCCTAGAGCGGATGTGGAGTGTGGACCGGATGACTGGGCTGGAGAGAGGTGAGAGGGTGAAGGACACAGAGGAGAGGAGAGGCGCTGAATTCCAAACCAGGGCGGGAGGGGGTAAGGGTATGTTTTTAGACCCCATTGGTGGGTTTGCTGGGGTTTGGTATTGGACCAGAGAGGAAATAGCATTTCTTTAATTTGCCTGATTGCAACTTTAGTAAAAAAATAAATAAGGCTCCAATAAACTTCCTTTCCCATTAGTCTAATATTTGTTCATTATATTTGTTTACAAGTGATATTTCTAGCCTTTTTAAAGTTTCAGAACCACTTCTGTTGAAATAAGCAGAAAATCACAGTCTACACTTGAGTAAGCAATAAGTAAGCAATAACTAGAACACTTAGGAGATTTTTTTTCATTTTAACTTTGAGAAAACAGTTGAAACTAAGTTCCTATTGCATTCAAATCTATTTCTTCTCAGCTCTGGTGGGGATTGAGGGTTTGTTGTTGGATGTGACGTGGTGGTCTGTTGATCTGACTCTTCGTCTCCCCGTCCCTCCCCTCTGCTGTCTCCTTCTGTGTGTCTCCCTCTCTCCATTTGTGGAGTGGTGGACTGTGAAGTGCTGGTGCTGTTGCTGGTTTTGTGCATCCATATATCAAATATATTGATTACAACGTTAGCCAATATGGCACATAGATATTTCATGTTTTGTACTTAACCCAGGATTTAACATTTGTCTCTCTAATTGCAGAGGACACTAACTGGTTCCCAAAGGAAAACATGTTCAGCTTTCAAACTGCCACGACAACCATGCAGGCGTGAGTGTCCAACCTTCAAGCACACGCATAAATCTCACATGTACACAAATACACACACGATCACACGTATGTTGTTTGAAAGGTCGGACTGGGGTGTTTGCATGTTTCAGACCATTAACTCCAAACTGCATACTTTACATTAACCGCACACCATTATCCAAAGCATGCTATAGGCTTTTAGATTGATTTCTTACCTTCCAGGCTGCCATTGATTTTCATTTCAGTAAGCTATAAAAACAGCTTGCAGACCCTTAAAGCGTACTCTAGGAAAAACAATCCATCACAGTGAATGTTTAGTCAACTTTAGCTGAATAATTAATGCATGGTTTGTTTTAAAGGCTCATCAAGATGATTTGACATCTGAGATTACACAATTCATTATCACTTCCAAACCGCTGGATTGCCGATGTTTTAGATTTCATATTTCGACACTTTTCTCAATAAAGAATTAAGTATACGTTTATCTTGAGCAAGTTATAAGACTACGAGTCTGCAGCCATGTTAGTGTACTGCATGTAAACATAGCTGTGGAGCTTCTTATCAGGATCTCACATGGTTAAAATGACATTGCTAACATTTGGCTGTTTAGCAAGCTTATTTAGCATGTTCACCATCTTAGTTTAGTCTCTTAGCATGCTAACATATGCTATACACAGTAGTGTTTCCAGGTATTAAGTAATGAATAGGAGTATCGGAAAAGCTGATGGTGTCGCCAATTGAAAATGTACAGTATCACCAACATTATTATAGTTTAGTGTGAACCCAAATGGTGGACTATACAACCAAGAAGGGCATCGAAATCCCCAAAGGCATGTTGCTAGCACGGCTTCAATAAGTACTTTATTGGCAGTAATGTAATGTAAGCAGTTTTTTTGTTCAAGTGCAAAAACATAGGCAAACACTATATTAAAAAAGGGAGTTTTTTAAAGCAAATGAAAAAATAAAAGGCAGATGTGTCTGAGTGAGAATGAGTGTTAGTCTGTACAAAATAACTTGAACACAAAGGCAGACTCAATATAAAATAGTTCGTTCATTTTGCCTTTTAAATAAGCTTAGACCAGCAGCAAGGTCAACTTTAACACACACTTACTGTCTCATTATGCCTCACAGTTTTTCCATCGCTGTTTTCGGCCTCATTAATCACCGGTGCCTGAAATGTGTGTTTTTGTTCTCCCTCTCCTCTCTTCCTGCGTGCTAATTAACAATGGGACAACCAAACAGGATATCGTGAGTATATTTCCCCTGCATGCTTCCTTTTATCACTTACATGTAGCTCGCTTACTTCTTGTACTTAACTGCTGTTCCTTAACTTCGATGTCTACCATTTAACCTTCATCCCTGGGCTGGGTGATTGAAAACAAAGTGGCCATTACAGGATAGAACCAGGGAGTGGGTGGACCTTTTTTTGAGGTACTAAAAAATTAGATTTTCGAGAAGCATCAATCATCTCCTGATATAGAGTTATGGATTGTGAGGTAGAAGCCAAGTCAGCAAATGTATTTTTATTTTTAATTACTCTTTCTTGCCAGAAGGGGGAAATGTAGTTTTCAAGTCCAGAGTAATCCACTGAGGTCGAGTTATTCTGCCATTCTCAAGTCAGGAAAATGTCCGTCTGTGTGTTGGCTGACCACAACCTGTCAGCTCACATCTACCCAGCAGTTATGTCGGTTCAACACGCACACCCGTCCTCACTTAGCACACATCGATAGATAAGAGTTTTGCCATATTAAATTTGTGTGGCACTCCTGTTAGTGCTCTAATCCCTCTCCACCGCCATCTCCAATTATCCCAAAATCTGTGCTGGCGGACTTTAGGCGTTTTTGGAACTGACTGTGGTAATTGGCTCTAGACAGATTTGTTAGGAACAAGTATTTATAGTGCTAACATGTGATCCCAAGTGCCTTCTGGTAAAACTGTATGAGTTATAATTTGTTGCGTTTTATTTCTGGTCCGGTTCCTGTTCACACTGACATGATGGAGGAGTAAACTAAAAATGACAAAAACTGACAGATGACTTTGTTTGACTTTGACAGTGTTGTTGATTGCCATGATGCATTCATTTAGATCACTGTCACACTTTCTAATGGACTTAATGAACTGACAAAGTAAAAATACTCAGACACAGCGTTAAACAGCTCCTTAACCGTTAATCAGGCAAATACCTACTCTAACGTGCAAAGTGTGTACATTGATAAAAATATGAATTCATAAATTCAGTAGGTTATATAAATATAGATCAATTATTCGATCGCTTCCTTATTACATTTTTGAATCACCGTAGTTAAGTAGTTTTGAAACCATTCTAAAAATAGTTAGAGGAACACGTTAGGCATGAGAGGTAAGTATTGGTGATCAGAGAAGAAGGTTAAGCCATCAGATAAATGACAAGAGGAATAGTGTAGTTTTCCATGAATAAACTAAGACTAGTTCTTCACATTTCATACTGCACAACCCCTGCTGCAAACACATCTCACCTTACTAAACCTAACTAACCGAGCTGCTTTCAAATGCTTTCAAGTTCTTTGTATGTTGACCAAGCTAACCTCCTGCTGCTAGCTCAAAGTACATTTTGAGGATTTATTCAAAATGTGAAGATTTGCAGCGGGGGATTGAACCACTGACCTTCTGATTGGTGGATAACCACTCCTCCTGAGCTATTACGATGAACAGACATAGTGTAGCTCATTTGAAGTAAGTTGTAACAAGCCATCCTGTTGCTTTTTGTACCAGTGGCACCATTTATTTACTCCTGTTTGAGTAAGGTTCGCTGAAAACTACAAAATCCTATATTTTATTCAAGATGTATGCCAATGTATACGACTGGGCTTGCAGTTGAGAGCCACAGACTGGCAGGGGAGTCAGAAAGTATTGACAGGGTGACTAATGCATTCTTGGTTTTTGGTCTTTTTATAGGATTTGTTGCCTGTTAAGAAAATAAGAACAATGGCAGCCTTGACCTTTTAAAGAACATTTTGTTCTTTGGTGGATTTTATAAGCTACTTTCCACTACATACCCAGAGTCGGTCAATTAAATGTAGCATGGTCAGAGAGGCTCTATCTCTCTCTTTCTGCCATGGAAACATTTTAATCAGCTTCACAGGATCGTTGGGTTACATCTGAACAACAATAAGTGTGATTATTAAGACATAATCACACATCAACAGTGATGCATTTCACACCATGTTTGTACTTTGACACATAAGGTGGTGTCCCTTTCTGCACTTTTTTCTATTAAAAAAGTTTTGATATGAAAGGACACAAGACTTACACAACAACATAACTGTCGTGAATATGAAGTATTAACTTCACAGCAATGGAGAATGTGCTCTCTTTTCGAGTTGAGCTGTTACTTAAGCCCAAAGGCCTTCAGTGGCAGAATTACACTCTCAAGATTACTCTAAACTGCATGAGGATACACAACAAGTATCCATGACTGATTCTGAGAAATTAGTAGGAATCCTACAAATTAGAAAAAAAACATATATCTCATAAGGCACCTCTGAAAAGCCACATGAGGTCACCAGACCAGCGTCTCAGATGGATTATACCACATGCAGGCTGGCACATTTGTTGCAGGGGTGAATAGAAAATGAGATTTGAACAGTGATGTGATTTGACTCTCTGGTCCTCATACTCCAAGCTAGCTGCTGCCTACCAACAACAGCTTCCTGTTTGCAGCCAAATAAACCCTGTCGCTAAAAGCCCTGGCACCAGCCCCCCCCACCCTGCTCTGTCCTACCCCTTGCTACGCCAGCATTCTCGCTCTCTCATCCCTTTAATACTGTGCCACGTCCCGGCAGGACTTTCCGGGGATTTGTGCAGAGAAAAAGGAGAGAGAGGGAGCAGGATTCTGCAGAAGTCATCCAGAGGTACGAAGCGGCCCCTGCCAGGGTGTGCTTTGCTGTTGGCTTGTTTCTAGCTATAGTTCCGTTGTCGCTTATTTACAGCTGCCTCTAATCTGACTAAGCCAAAGATTCACTACGTGGCATTGGAAGGTGAGGACGTCAGCTTTCAAAAGGATCCTCTGAGTGCCCTGCTAGAGTGCCCACATTTCTAGGCTGGAATTGTACTGCCACCCCTGAATTTTTGGTCTCCGAAAAAACTGGTACATTCTGTTTGAATGGTTTGAAAAAACTCTGGCAAATCTTCTCATAGTGTGAATGCTACTCAGCCAAACCTAGATTAAATGCATTGGTAGTAAGACTTTTGTATGACATTAGAGTCATTCGTTCAATATACTTCAGAATTCAAAACCATCCCTGCTCCAACACCATACAAGTTTGAATGAGACCGTAGCATTCTACCGAAACATTTATTTAACACCCTTACAGAAATGGGTGAATTAGAATCACTCCAAAGTTTTTTTTTAAATGTGGAGTGAGATTATGTAACACTTGCAGGAGTAGTGTCATCAGCAACAAGTTCAGAAACCGCCCCACCCAGATGCTCCGTCACACGGAGACAGATGGCGAATGTGCGACCGCGCATCTCAATTCCTTTAACATCTCACTCAGTGTCATCCATCTGCAGTGTCAGTTCACTGACATTGGTGTTTTTTCATCAAAATGTGTGATTTGAAAATGGGGGTAAAAGCATAACAGAAAAGTTGCATAAAATACCACGGGAAAAATTGTCCGCCATCCAACAGAAACCATTACTTAAATTTGTATTATCCAATAATGCCACATTCAACCACGGCAGTAAAATTGTAAAATAGTATGTTTAAGTATTTCCTTTTTGTCTTTTGTTTTCACTAAGCTGAGTATTTGACCACTAAAAGCAGATCAAACAGGAAGCCATCTTAAACTGAATAAAGGGAAACTTATGAGCTCTGACATTTCAGTGTTGTATTCCTGACTCGGTGAAGCACTTTTTTCTTCAACCCTATTTCCCTTTAACAAAAAAACACTTAATATGACTGAAAGCTTCTTTTATATCATATTATATTCTTTTCATATGATGTACAGCCGAAGGGTAAAAATGGAAGCATTTCCGTATTTCAATCTGGTTGGCAAAGTTTAGAAAAAGCTTTAAAACACCAGTGTGGATAAAAAAAACCTTTGACATGTGAAAGTGTTTTTAAATCTTCCTGCATTAGTTTAGTAAAGATGTGCCCTAAAGCCACAAAGCAGAGCAGAAATGATTACTCTCATACAGCAGGCAGTGCCTCTGTCAAGATCCTCATCCCCACATAGCCGATCATTTGAACCATAGTTATAACAACATCAATGCACAAAGGAAAGAGCCATTTCAGTATTGCTCTAATTCAGCCCCTGTACTCTGAGAGTGCTTTTTTTCCACAATGGGAGAGTAGATTACACCTGGTGTCTTTGATGTGAGGGGTTCACTTTCTTTTTCATCTTGCATTACCATCTCTACACAATTAAATCAGTTCTTTTCCCAGAATTTTCTAAAGTCTGACTTTACTGAGTACACATTTCAGGCACTTTAGTGAGTCTATACTTCTAATGCACACACATAGGAGGAAAGGAGAATTTAAAGTCACGATTCCCCTGGCCAGTCAATGTGATCTACGATATTATATCAGTAATCATACAAATATGCTGTTAAAATCTTAAAATGGCACTATAACTGGAATACCAACAAATGTCAACGTATCAATTTATAGTTAGTGTGGTTCGAATCCCAAATTAATATTGTTCCATCCATATACTTATAGGAGTTGAATACTGTACTCATATTACAAAATGTACTGAACTTATACATTTGGATGCATTATGGTGAAAGCTACCCAGCATTATGTAGAAGTTAAAATGAACCTTAGCTCACATTCATGCATTAATTATCATAATCCAATATTCATACCAATTCATATCCGCATATGGAGTACTTGCTAGTTAGTATATTTTTGACAATTTAATCAAACCTTAGGCAAATACAATCAAAGAAACCAGATAACTGGGAGAAAGCTCTGTTTTTATGAAGAGAAAGACACATACAGGATAGTCTTTGGGAGTGAAAGAAAAGAGGAATGGCTTGTACAGTAAGGTAGAAAAGGAGGGAAAATAACGTGAGAAATAATGCAGGTGTGATCATCATTCTTGTTCAAATAAAGATATGGAGAAGGTGGAACAGGCAGAAGAGAGTCAAATTGAAGCAAAATCCAAAAATGTAGGCAAATATGTGGATGGGAAAGGAGTCATGGAGAGTTATAGAGCATCACAGAAAGAGCTGAAGAAGAGGGTGGCAGCACCTGTCAGATTGTCTTAAGTTGGAAATGGAGGAGGCCACGGTTTCTCTCACATTACACTCTCTTTCACTCTAAATCTCATTATCCGTGTCCACACCTCTCATTGTGGGCAGCTGAGGTTTCAGCACAGGAGAGTGTTTGTATCAGTGTGTTAAAGATCTCAAAGTGCAAGCAGCAGTGATCTCTCCTGTCTGTCAACCATGACTTGATTTGTGTTAGTACATTAAATGAGAAGGGAAATGCATCGTTTGGTGTAGCAAGTTTACTGTTGGTTTGCTGACATTTTTACGGGGGTAAACCAAGGACAAAGTATTTATTTTTCCTTTTTAAGTCGCTTATTTTTTTTATGTGCTTCTCCACTATGAATAATAAACATGGACCCACTATCGCACAGACACACACATACATAAAACCACACGCTGAGATCATTAATCCTGAGTGCAGACTGTTGGCTAGGTGTGCTGAAACTGTGTGTAGATGTGACATGGGAGGGAGGCAGGAAGCTGGGACTCTTGCATAGAACATCGCGTCGGTCTGAGACAGGCAGTCATAGGGACGACTATACAAACCATATTGCTTTGTTCTTACTAAATACACAAAATGGACTTGAAGTAGAACATGGTAATGCAAAGCTTCTGTATTTAATTACGTATAGACTACAAATATACAGTGTAGTCAGAGAGTTTCATTGTTGCTAGGAGACATGAATACTATGGTTGACTTTTACGAAGTTAATGCAAGTAGCTAAACCTTGCAAATTGAAAACAAAAGAGAAAGTAACTCCAAAAGATTGTAGCATATAGTCGGCTACAACACAGCATTTATTTGATAGTATGACATATCCTCTCATTAAAGTGTGTGAAGAAACAGGAATAAAGAAACGGACCAAGACAACAAGCACGTTTTGGAAATATAAGGTTCAAAATGTTAATAATGCACTGTTTTAAAAATTTGGTGAATTAACTTTACTCATTAGCCTCAATGAGATGCAGCAGTTAACCATTTTTATGACTACATTTGAATAATGAGGAAAACAGGCTTCGTGCACTCAGGTTACTTTACACCACAGATGTAATAAAAATGGCGTTTGATCCTGTAATGACTGGAATAGAGTCTGCAATCATTAGCACATGTTTCACAGATATACTGTTGTGTATAGACAAATCCATCGTCTGACTCATCTTTTCAGAGAGGGTGGAAGAACAGTTATTGTAAGTTAAGGTTATTCACGGTCAGCGGTCTCTGACAGAATAGGGTTTCCTAAAGTGAATGTTAATCAGTCTCCAAGCACTGATGTGAACATGTTTATGACACAGGACTTGTAATGAGAAATACGCAAGCTTATAAAACATTTTAACTATCGATTATGTAAAGTAAAAAGAATATGGTTTACAAAGATACTGAGTATTGTTCAGGATGATGGATCACCATTGGCCTCTTGCAGGCAGGGTTTAATGGAGGATTATAATGCTGATTAATAAATGTGCTTTTATATTACGGAGCAGAGGCATGTGGATTTAGCTTGATTGTTGGAAGCAGCAAAGAACAGCATATGTCTAAGTTTTCATCTGTTATAACAATGATTATATTTAAACCATGTAATAGGGTATTAAGGATCTTCTGGACGTATTTAATGTGTAACATCCTGCCTTATACGTAAAAGTTGCCATCCTTTAATAACAAAATCCGGGTGGTTTTTATAAAAATGTTTAGTTATGCATATATTATTATAATTTTAAATATTGACTAAATAACCTCACTCTGATGCATTGAAACCTATAAAACACTGGAAAAGTGTCTCCCTTTTGGCTGTTACGTGAATGAGACTCATTAAATCTTTACTTTGAAAGGATAATTAGCGGTGCTTTGGCCGTGTGGTACATTACACCCACACTGCTCCTGTGACAAGTATTTTCCACTCACAGTGACAATAAAATGAGTATATTTACCTATAATTATCTCTTTTTTAACCTAGAGACAGAAGCTTAACACTAAACTCTCCTACTTGTCTTCCCTGGCTTTGTTGTTTCCCGCCCTCTTTCCTCCTTCTCTTCTTTACGTTTTGGGTCTTCCTCTTTCCTCTGTTATCCCTCGCATGTTTTCATTTCCCTACCCACAGGAACTTCCGGAAGCATCTTCGGATGGTGGGCAGCAGGAGGATGAAAGCACAGAGTGAGTCAGAGATGTGTGTGTTTGTGTGTGTGGCTGATATGTTTGCTCAAACTGACTGTTGTGTTTTCCACCTCGCCATCATCTGTTTTTCTGTTTGTTTTCTGGTGTGTTTATTGCACGCGTGTGGCACCAAAGCGCGTCTGCTTTTACTGGGATTATAAAACGTAATATTGAATCACTTGAGGAGTATATGTTTATCAGTGTGTGTGTGTGTGTGTGTGTGTGTGTGTGTGTGTGTGTGTGTGTGTGTGTGTGTGTGTGTGTGTGTGTGTGTGTGTGTGTGTGTGTGTGTGTACGTGTTTGTATTGATTATGCAGCAATATGAGTCTTGCTCCTGTTTATACGAGTGTGTTGGTGGTCCTTTCCTGTTGCATCGCTTTGAATGTTTCGGGTCTTTGTTCGGTTTGTTGTAAAGACAAAGATGCTAAATATATTTTTTTAAAGGAAAATACGGAAGTGATGATTGGTAACAATGGAGGAGTGTGTGTCGTATTGAAAACACGTCCAAAAAAATGTGGATTAGATGTGGCTTCAGTAACAGTTTGAGTGTCATTTTAGGAGGCATCTTAAAAATGTAATGGAGATAAAATGGGTGGAGATAAAATGGGTAAGAACAAAGTAAAATCAACTATAAATCTATGCTCCAGCAAATACAAACATTGCTTATTTTTTTATTTGTGTCAAATTAAGATGCATCATTATTACAAGTAACTTAGGAAGAGTACACGTGCTAAGATTATACAGCATGTGCCAAACATGTGCCAAATGTCAAAGCACTATAAATGTTAACAAGATGTTCCTTGTCCATCGTTATAGGTCACAATGGAAATGTGTTACAGACTAGTGGCCTATGATGATGTCAGGCGTGAAGGCCATTATTTTGTAATGCGAAAAAAAAATGTTTTAGCAGACAAGCCTGAACCCAATTATAACCCAAATGTGTCACCTATGATTGTAACTCAGTGTTACATTTTGCCCTACAGTGTAGACATTTATTTAATCCTAAATCTCAAGACGCAACCCTGCTGTGAGGAGGAACTACTTCTCCTGGAGCAATTGGTCCCAAAATGTCCCAATGCTGCATTGCTGATTTAGTGAAATCATCACAGAATCATCTAGTTTTGATACAAATCTAAAGTCTAGTCAAGAGCTATTGTGTCACAAAACAGGAAAACATGTTTTGATTTGATAAACAGTTATTTCTAAAAGCAACCCTGAAATATCAACATTTTAAAAAAGGCCTTAAAGTTGACCTTATGAATGTTTCTATTTAATGAAAAGGTTGTTGTACTTGAATAGAACAAATTGTTGTCAGCAGCTAAATGCCGCCATGAGGGACACTGTTGATTAACCGTGTCAAACACTTTAAAATAGTCTACAAATATTCCAAGAGCACAGTGATTACTCTTCAAAGCAAAGCTGATTCTATCGAGGCTCAGTAAATCTTGGAGACAAAAGCAGACCTTGAAATCCATCCTTAAGATAAGAAGCAGGATCTTTTATGGTGTTATAGTCTGTCAGCATACTGTATGTGTATGTGTGTTTAAACATGCAGGTGTTTGTTTGTGCCAAGATGGGGTGACATCGTATGTACACAATATATGTGAGCTGTTTCCGTGTGTTCACGTATGTGTTTTAGGTGGTGAGTGTGTAGGGAAAAAAGGTCATTTTGCGGGTTGTTCAGTGCGTGTGTGTCGTGTGTGTGTGACAATCTCTCCCCGCCTGTACTAGCATTCGCTGAGCGTAGATCGAAGAGTTTCAGCCGCTCCTGGAGTGACCCCACCCCTGTCAAGAATGACTCTCAGCATGACAGTGAGTTAACACGTACTAACACACGTCCATCTACACACAGACGCTGACACACACACAGTGGAGCAAAAATTGTGCAATTTAAACACTGGGAAGCAGGCTTTAACTCTGAAGTAACCAAATCACGTGTGTTACATGTGTGTAAACCAGTGTCTGTTGCGTCTCGTCTAGTTAAGTTGCCAGTTTGTATTCCCTGCATGCACTGAGATATGAAAAATGTAAAACTGGCCTCCACTTTTAAGACCTGGCCTTTTTTAATATTCCAGACTACTTCAGTCACACTCCTTCTCTAAATATTACAATGAGTGCAAAATACAGACATGTCCTTTTAAAGTGTTAATAATCCACCAAAACTGCTGCAGCTGCTGCATTTTAAACAATGTAAAAGGTGTGCGGTTATTATTAATAATAGCCCATGACCCTTCATGCCCTCACATCACAACTGGCATATCAATTACAACTTCAATTCGCTTTGTGCTTGCTCAGTGTTTTTGTCCTTAATTTATTCCATACACAGGTGGCTCATACATTGTTGAAAGCCACTTAGCAGCATGTGTCAGCTCTGAAAATGATGTGGTAATCAGCACTTTGATATATATGAACCGACCGATGGAATGAGGCCAGATCATCTCTAGTCTTAAATAATGGTCAAGCTGTCAAAAGTAATGCAAAGTACAGTATAGTACTTAGTAACAGAGGTGGGAGAAATATTCAGATTGTGTAGTTGAGTAAAAGTAGAAGTACCAGAGTGTAGGGATACTCTGTCACAACTAAAAGTCCTGCATTCAAAAGTAAAAGTATAAAAGTATTAACATCAAAATTAACTTAAATTACCAAAAATAAAAGAACCCATTATGCAGATTGGTCCATTTCAGAATAATGTATATGATCTGTTTTGATTATAATTATTGATGCATTAAAATGTTCTCAAAGCTGGTAAAGGTACAGCTAGTTTGAATGACTCTGTACACTGCAGGTAGCTTGTGAATTTACTCCAGGTTTAACTAAAGTCTGATTTAAGTGTGGTTTATATTTATCATCATTAATCCAAATCTGCAAAGTAACTAAAAGGAACAAAATAAAAGTAGTGGAGTAAAAGTACATGATTTACCTCTGAAGTGTATTGGAGTAGAAGTACAAAGTAGCATAAAATGGAAATACTCGAGTAAGTATCTCAAAATGGTACTTTAGTACAGTACTTGAGCAAATGTATTTAGTAACTTCCCACTCTGCTTAGTAAGTACAAATGTATATTCTACATGAACCTTTTTTAAATATTTCCAGATTGGGAAAAATCCTAATTTTGTATGCATCAATAGGCAAAACAAATTGTACTTCTTTTCTTATGTTCAGGATACCAGAAAAGTTATTTCTTTTTTTACTTCCTCCCTCAGCAAATGTAAAATCTTAAAATCCCAAAACACTCAACAGTGAAATAATTGCCCTACTAAAATTGCCGATGTGATTCTACCCGGGTCAAGGAGATTATGTTTTTGGTTTGGTTTGTTGGTTTCTTTGTCAGCAGGATTGTGGAAAAACGACTGTCCCAATTTTCATTAAACTTGGTTGAAGGAAGTACTATGGCCTAAGAGGAACCCAGTTATTATGTAGTTCTGAATCACACGGTGGAAACATTTTTTTTTCACTTAAGGCAACTGCCATTGAAGAGGTCTGTACTCTCCGGGAGCCATTCTGGTTGTCAGTGTTTTCAATGGTGATTTAGGTACTTGAAGGTTAAAGCCACTTTTCATCAAGTGTGTACAAACAGGACTTGGAATTTGACAGTAAACTGTAAGGTGACATTTTGTCATCACGGTTTTACAGCTCAGCTCCGTGTTTTGAAAGAACAGTTAACACACACATAACAAATCCAAAGACACTTACACAGAAAACCCTCCATCACACGTACACACTGACTGTCCCTGCTGTTGACTCTGACCCTGTCCATCTGTCTCCCTTTGACCGTGGGTCTTTCTTAAACTTTGTGATGCTCTCTCTATATCTATGAGTATGTCTTTCGAACTGGAGTGTGTGTGTCTCAGTCCGAGTGTGTCCGCTGGTGCAAATGTCAAGGCAAGGAACGTGTGTCCAAGTGTATCTAAGCGTATCTAAATGGCTTATAAATGTGAGTTTCAACCCACACTGATTGAAGGTGATGTTTGTCTATGTTGGTGTCTGTGGTTTTATGTTTTTCTCCACCTTCCATCTTCAGTGTTTCTGTGTTTTAGAGTGTGATGAAAGATAAATGAACTGTTGATGACAGTCTAATGGTGTAGCTGATGCCTCATTCTTCCCTGTTTCCTCAGGGAAAGGTATTGTTCTCTGAAGGAGAGACATTAATCATCAATTTTGCTTGTTATTTTCTCATTTTTCATTCTTTACTTTCTTGAGAAGGATATTTCCCTCTTGGTACCTCTACAATGTTCTTTATTAGCTGCTTCACAAAACCTATTGCCTACAGTTGGGCTGAAACTGATTCTGATATTATATATATATATATCTGATATCTGATATTCTGATACTGATTGGCTGATACAAGCATAAAAGTATATTTTTGTTTTCAAAATATCCTCATATAACATAATGGCCAATTACTGTTTTGAAGTTGTTTTCTATAATCTTAAATGCAAACAAATGTATATTATTAATAAAAAACCTCAAGGACAACACTGTGAGCAGCAAATATATATAACACAAATATATGACAATCATAAACGTAGTGCTCACATTGTAATTAAACTACAGCAATGGAACATCGCACTTGAATATAAATAGCAATTATCAGCAACAACACTTTTACTATGCATGCGTTGACCCTAAGAATGTTAAACTGTAAATAAATACTAAGTCAAAACTGCATGCATCACATCAGCTATCCACGGATCAAAGAAATACTGACAGCTCAGATTTAATGAACACCTGCTCTGTAGGTCTGTCTATTTAGTGGTTATGAACATCAAGAAAGCATCTATATGTCTATAAGTAAATTAAAATACTTTGTCCAGCTATGCAATACTGATGTCAAATGGGGCACGAGCAAAAACATATTTTAGGTTCCTAAAATAGACCCACGGAAAAATAATCCGAATCTGTTTAAGCGCATAGGCAACATTTAGACTATTTTCTACGCTTCACCTTGCTTTCAGACAGCCATTTGCAACAATGAGGGGCAGCTGTTGTATCCAGCCATGATTGTGCCAAGGCTAAAGCTAAAACCTTGTTGAACAAAAACAGCTGTTCTACTGCTCCAATCATTTCATTTGTTGGTATGGTTGTCTGTTAGTTCAGATTCACTAAATTCACACAATAACTTAAACAAACTAACTCATCAAGGCAGCAGTAGAAACAACCTGTGTTCTTTGCGTGGTAAAATAACTGTGTTTTTCAATGATGCTTTTGGCAAGAGCATAGATAACATCTTCAGTTACCAATCAGAATAATGTCATAGCAGGAGAAGCACAGGTGTAACAAATATGATCACTGTGCTCGGTGGAGTCCAAATCAGTCAATTAGCATTGTTATTAAAGGTCCCATGACATGGCCATTTCTACTGATCATAATTCCAATGTTGAGGTCTACTAGAATAGATTTACATTGTTCAATGTTCCAAAAATTGGTTTTTCATAAAGCATCTCTGTACAGTATGTGTATTCACTCTCTGTCCTAAACGGCTTTTTGTACCTCATTCACACCAACGCAACTCCGGTTCAAGCTCCGTGCTAGAGATTTTCAGGTTCAGAACCGGTTCTTCGGTTTAGCTCCGGCTCTTTTCACACCGCCCAGAGTCCGACTGCAATTTTGAACTTGAAAGTTTATTTGAACATAAAAACCCAACTTACTTGAGTCTCCTGAACGGTCTACTGGAGACTTTATCGAGGTATCCTTTACAATTTCGTCGCAAAACTTTTACAACCTAAATATAAAGTAATAGATAATACGAGCCTTCAGAGGTTGAGCTTTAACCCCTCGACCCTAAACTTACAGTGCTCGTTATATATTTTCCACCTTTCCCCCACATTCTGTTATTAACGAGTGTCACACATCGTTACACCCCTAACATCGCTTAACGAAATACGAGACGGAAGTTTTACCGTTGGACCACTCGAGCTTACGCAGCGTGCACCCTTCAACTAACCCGAACGAGGACACAAGTTTCACCTAATGTAAAACTCGTCTCGCTGACGGTCCGATCACCATTGTACCTATCTGACTCGAGAAAAGGCCTGCAATTGTCAAGACACCGTAGTTCCGCTCCGAGTCGTTCACCAACTTACACCTTCCGTCGTATATTTCCCGAATCACTGTTCTCTTTTTTCCTATTCCGAACCCTTATAATTTGCAGGGGCCATACATAATGACGAAAACAAGAAGATCTAATAATATCCGAGTACTAATAGTTTTGCAACGAGACTTCACAAACGCGAGGTTTATGGTTGTCTACAGTAACATCTTAGGTTATTAGGGGAGCACAACAGTCGGGACCCAAAGTTTTCACACAAGAGACAGACAATGAAATCTACTTTTATTCCTCCGGTCGAGGGGGGTGCGGGGAGACGCTCTATAAACCACTTTTCGATGTGTTACCACGGAGATCCTCGCTCTAAGTCCACTATCCACCCCCCCCCCTGGAACCACCACTAACCCCGGAAAATACCGAATGTGTTCGGGGTGCTTTAGCGAATACTGTAGGTATTTCAACCGGTTTTAGAAACCTAGTGAGTAAAAGTCTGTCCAAAAGATAATTACCTAGTCCCCTGTTTTTCTCTCGTTTATAAAAAAGGACTTTGAAAAGTCTTAGGATAGACATTGTCCTCCCCTGTGTACAAAACATATTCTGTACTTGTTCACCTAAAACGTATTAATGCCCTGGAAATTGTGAAAGGAGGTTCTTAGTAAAAACTGACTTTAAACTTAAGTCAGGTGTCTTTACATGACAGTTAACGAGGGTGGTAAAAGACTTCTTTCCTCGTCTGTATGAACGAGTCTCTGAAACCGAAAGTAATTCCCAACATTTTATGTTCTCCCCCCTTACACCGGGAGGACGAGAAAAGAAAACTAAAACTTTGTAAAACTTTCAGATAAAGGGAACATGCAGACGGGTTTGCCAGGAAAAAGTTACCACACTAAGCTTTAACAACATTTATGACTAGAGAGTGGTACTAAAAAAACCCCCCTCGGCGATGTTCAGCGAGAGAAGCGGTCCGGTCCGGCCCGGAGTAGAGGAGAGGAGGAGGGTCAGCATTTAATAGTAGAACCGGGAGGGAAGTAGATTTCATGGTGTCCTACACGAGTCCAGACGCCGGCACCCTTCCTTATTATGGTGTGGAAGACTCGTTCTTGCTGATTTCTATTATCGCAAAATCGCTATCCCTCACGAAGAACTCTCCGCGGTTCTTTCCACTGTCCTTTATCTTCTAGACCCTCACTTTCCTGCACAGTCGCGTCACCCCCTCTCCTCACTAACACACCTCCTCTCCTTGTCCTACCCTCAACCCATTATTACCCACCCGCTGTATTTATACGTGTCTTACTTTCATTTTCTACCTCTTCTGACCTCCCTCCTCTTTCCTCCTCTTCACTCACTCGTCCGAAGTCGGGGGGGGGGGGACGATTGTTCTTTTATTTGTTTATTCAAGTGCCTCCCGTCGTGGAGATCGTTCCTTACGCGCAGCCATAGCTTTACACGAAGAAAGATTTACTTCAAGTGTGATTAAAGATAAATTTACAACATTATTTTTACATTTTAACCGCTCTGTCGCAACTTAATAAAGGACCTTCCTCTAATAATTTCCATCTCCATCATTAAGTGAAGTCTTGTGTGAAAAACCAATAGAAGGTACCTTACGAGAATTGTAGGGCCTATCTACTACTTATGTAATTTACGAACTGTATTTTATGTATGTTTATAAAGTAGACACCTTCGGCATCCGCGACATTTTTCGGCTGCCTGGTTAGGTAGCGGGGCCGGCGCCGTCTATTGACCTACCGGATGGACGGACGTCGGCAAGGTAGAGCCCGTGTTTTGAATAGAGCCCGGGAGTAACCAGTACACGTGCAAGCACACACAACCTTCCTCCCCGAGAAATTCCTCGCTCAGACTCCTTCCGTCCGTCTACAAAAAGCCAACACATGAGAGCTTTAAGATCGTGGTGAGATCGACCAAGAGTAAGAATGGATGGGATGGACATTAAACTCCAGTTTGAGAATGTAAAAATATAACTGGATTGTACTCCTCTCTAAATAGTTGTCGGTAATATAAACACTAAAAAGTATCCTTCCGTCAACCTTAATTCAGGTACTGTACGAAAAGGCCAATAATGGCGCAGGGGACACACACAATCATGAAAAAGACGGTACATTTGCACCAGACGTCTAGTGTTTTGGGAGGTTATTCACATTCTTGGGCCATCTGCGTCATTTTGAGCATTGTGTTCCTTTTCGGACAATACGGACGGGGTCTTTCTGAGCAACCTCTTAAAACCAAAAAGGTCAAAACAGGACCAGTGTACTGCATTGCTTGCTGGTTTCCTGGTTAGTCACCGCGGGCGTGTGTGGTGTATTGTGTGTTGAGTCGAAATCCCGCGCGATGGGCGCCTCAAAGCGGCCGTGTGTGTGAGTGAGTCGGAAATAGAAAAGAGTCCGACACTCACACACCACTTGACAACACTCGCTTGTCGCGACCGACACACACACACAACACACACACACACACACACACACACACACACACACACACACACACACAACACCACACAACACACACACACACACACACACCACACACAAGCCGACCACACACACACACACACACACACACACACACACACACACACACACCACACACACAACACACACACACAGCACACACGCGCGGTCCTTTGCTGTGGTCATTATGTCGAGTGTGACAGGAGGAGCTCGGAGTTTCCCGCGCGTCGCTCGGGGCTGTGCAGGGCGATTGTGTTGTGGTCTTGGGTGCGTCGAAGAGTAGCCAAACAGAATGACCCATTAAAACACCAACGAATTGATTGCGGTAACATTGGATTAGTGACTACCAAGGCGCATTTGCCAACCCGTTCCGACTGGTTAGTCTCGTGTCACCCGAGTGTCCCTCTCCCCTCCCCCCCCGTCCTCCGATGGAGTAAGTGTTGGTTGCCACAAAGAGGGCGCGGCGCGAAGCCTCCGACCTCGAACTTTTCGTGGCTCAAAAGGACAAGTGTGACGTCGCCTCGTCGGAAGAATCGAGGCCTTAGGACAAGCAAGTTCGTGGTTTTTTAACGAGGCCGGTCTTCGTTTTCGTGGCGTATGCAGTGCGAATGCAGCTCTGCCCCCGTCTCTGTCCTAGTTGAACTGTTTATTGTTTTTTCGGTCGCCAAAAACATCAAACATGTTGTTGCTACCTCCTTTGAATTGTTCTCAAAGTCACAAAAGAACGGTTAAATCCATGACCAATATACTTTCCAAAGATGAGTACCACTTCGTTGCACAGAACGGCAAATTCCACCTTGGACCGGTAAGTGCAACTAGTGGAGAAGTAACTATTGAGTAATATTTAGATATTTTGAAAATTTTATATTGATGAAGTGCACGTAAACTATTGTTCGACAATGCATGGACCCTACTTCAATGCAATTAAATTTAATTTCTATGTTGCAATGAGGCTGCTAGTACCAAAGTGAGGTGGAATTCTTTATTCCTGGTTGGAGCCTATTCGCAACACAAAATTTTTTTTTTAAAACTGTGCTAGGTGAAAAAATTTTTATATTAGATTGGGTGTCTTTACTGAGGCCTTTCGCGTCTATCCGGTTATTCTTTACTTACGTTGACTAAAATAGGGAGGCGCGCAAACCGAAATATCGTCAGTGCGTTTGCTAATGCAGTACTTGTGTTTTGCTACTGCGTTACTGCGTAATGTCGCTGCACGACACTCCTCACACCAGCAGAAATTGGGTCTTCCAACACCCAAGCTAGGGTCGGGTACGTCAGTTGTACAGCTACAATAAGGAAACCCGTTTCATGAATTGGACTCAACGAGGCTACGTACCGGTTGCCACACACTATACACACACTTACAATCCAGGATCTCATTCCATGTGACGAGACATACTTACCCACACTTACCCACTTACCTGTACATCATACAATTTCGCCGAAACTCCCAGGAATTTCTGACCTAATTTCGCGGATATATTCATGTCAGGTAAATGGTCAGGTAAAA